AGTGAACCTGAATGGTACATCTTTCGCCAATAGCTTGGTAAGTGGTCTAGAGATCTTGGAGAAGTCCTTGATGAACCGCCGATAAAATCCTGCATGTCCTAGAAAACTGCGGATGCCTTTGACGTTCCCGGGCGGTGGAAGCTTCTCAATAACCTCTATCTTTGCTCTGTCTACCTCGATTCCCCTAGAAGGCACCTTATGTCCTAAAACAATCCCTTCTTGCACCATGAAGTGACACTTCTCTCAGTTGAGGACTAAGTTGGCCGCTGCCCACCTGTCTAAGACTCGATGCAAATTGGCCAAACAGACGTCAAATGAGGGTCCATGGACAGAGAAATCGTCCATGAACACCTCCATAATATCCTCAATCACATCAGAAAATATAACAGTCATGCATCTCTGAAAAGTGGCAGGTGCATTACATAATCCAAAGGACATACGACGATAAGCAAACTTGCCATAAGGACAAATAAAGGTGATCTTCTCCTGGTCACTCGGGTGAATGGGGATCTGGAAGAATCCCGAGTAACCGTCTAGAAAGCAAAAGTACGAGTGGAGTGCAAGTCTCTCTAACATCTGATCAATAAAAGGCAAAGGAAAGTGATCCTTACGGGTGTTGGAGTTCAACTTACGATAGTCGATGCACATCCTCCATCCCGTGACCGTCCGCGTAGGAATAAGCTCGTTCTTCTCGTTCTGGATCACGGTCATGCCTCCCTTCTTGGGTACAACCTGCACAGGACTCACCCACGTACTATCCGAAATAGGGTATATAATACCCGCATCTAACAGCTTCATCACCTCTTTCCTAACTACCTCTTTCATCGTCGGATTCAATCTACGTTGATGCTCAACAGAGGATTTCGACTCATCATCTAAATGAATACGATGCATGCATAACGAAGGGCTAAGTCCCTTAATATCATCCAAAGTATATCCAAGAACACCCCTATAACGTCTAAGCAAATCACTCAACTGTTCTACCTGGGGTTCTAGCAACGCAGCATTCACTATAATCGGATAAGTCGAGTTAGGTCCAAGGAAAACATACCTGAGCCCTTCGGGTAAGGGCTTCATCTCCACCTTTGGGGCATTCTCTAAACTCCAATCAGCTTTATTCAGCTTCCCCGTGTGAAGTGGTGGCTCTCTAGGCTCTAGAACGTCTTTATTAGTCGTCGTGGAGGGTTCGGAAACGTTTGTAGAAGAATCGGGTGCGTCGATGTGAAATGTTGGATTTCCTGGGATCTCATGAGCGAATCTAATTCCTAAGAGATCGATTCTAGGGTTTGCGCAGCGGATATAAAACAAAAATTTTAATGAAACCCTAGAACCATGCTACTATTGAATCATAGAAACGTTAGAACGCTTACCTCAATCGATCCGGGGCCTGTATCAATTGATCTGTTCGTCCGATCACTCTAGGCAGGAAGAATACCTCGCCCTCTACACGTATCCACATGTCGGGATGGATTCCAACACCTTGGAACTTGTCTGCTAGGACTAGAGATCTCGATCTCTCTTGTGTGCAAGGTTTTTGGAGGCTTAGGGTTTTATTTTTCTTCTTTTTTTTCTTCTCCTTTTCCTTCTTTTTCTTTTCTTCACTTAAAACCCTAGAAGACATTCTCCTTATATGGACTTTCCAAAAATCCTAATTTGATAAGGAATAGATTAATTACTAGCAATCCTAATCTAATTAGGTTTCCTAAACCTATTAGAATTCTAATCTCATTAGATTTCCTAGATGTAATAGAATTCTAATCTCATTAGGATTCCTATACATAACAGGACTCCTAATCCCATTAGGATTCCTATTCCAATTAGAAATCTCAATCCAATTAGGATTCCTAATCGAGATAATTTAGCACACGTACTTGTCCATCCCTATTGTGTGTGACCCTGTAGGCTCATCCGGAATAGCAGTAAAACGCAGAATCTCCATTCCGCTAATACAAGTCATAGGCGGTCTCTAGCAAGACACTATAACTACCTATCTCGAATAGAGTTTGTTTGTGATCATACGAAAGCCAGTGATGATTCCAACTGATGATCCTTTTGTATCGCGATATCATATGTCGAACATAAGGCATGGACAAGCCACCTTATCTGATTCGACTGCTTTCTCCTTCACTGAGTTCGACTGTCTGAAATAAACGACGTTCGTCTATAGTGCGGCCACACAATTCTTCAGTCTTGCTCACACGAGGGGCTCAGCGATATCTCTCTCTTTTACGAGAGGTACAAATCCCGTCTTGACTATCTACAATCCAGTACATGATTCGTTTCGTACCTGATACACGCCTTTATAGTCCTCCTGTGACGCAGGACGTTTGACGTATTCAAAGCACGCAACTCCTCATGTTGGATTCCGTAGATATCTCAGGTCTTAGGATCCAATCATGGAATCGTCGTATCAGATTCAAGTCATGACGCTAGTCCATGTGACAATCTCATGCGGGTCAGTCCAGTATTCCGTTCTGCAACGAATACCTATGATTGTGATCGTATCCAATACCTATGATCATCGCTATGATCATCAATCACACATCATACTAGTCTTATTATGTCGTTATTCCCATAATGACACAAGACTAGGGAGTTTAGTATCATTCATAATGATACATGGATTTCATAACAGATCTAGCATGCAAGAACATGTAATGAATAAAATACTCTCATAAAACACATAGAAAGTATCAATACATCGAATGTATCTGAACAAAGCTCATAATCAGTACATCATAGAGCACTAAACCAACAATCTCCCACTTGCTCTAATCATGAACTGCTAAACATCTAATGCCCATATCCCTAACATGACCCTCATGCTTCGACGAAGGGAGAGGCTTCGTCAACGGATCGGCAATGTTGTCATCTGTCGACACTCTGCAAATGTGCACGTCTCCTCTGTCTATAATCTCCCTGATAAGGTGAAATCGTCTGAGTATGTGTTTGGATCGTTGATGGGATCTGGGTTCTTTCGCTTGTGCGATCGCTCC